CTCAATCAATAAGCCAGGAACGGTGATGTGTGCCTGTCATTCCAGCTTTGGAAAGGCCATAAGGAGGAGGACTACAGTCTGAGGCCAGCTCAGGGTAAAAATGTGAGACCCTTCCTAAAAAATAACTAAAGCACAGAAGGGCTAGGAACATGGCTGAAGTGGTAGACTGCCTGCCTAACAAATATGAGGCCCTGAGTTCAAATCTCAGTACTGCCCCCAAAATTTCCAAATCATAACATAATAAAAAGGAAGTTAACTAAAAAGGAAATAAACATAGTACAGAGGATCAACAAAATCAAAAGTTCTTTTTTTGAAAAGGTTGATAAAATTAATATTCTAACAAGGCTGATGAAGTTGTGTGTGTGTGTGTGTGTGTGTGTGTGTGTGTGTTACTGGGGGGATGAACTCAGTTTGTGCTTGCTAGACCAACATGCTACAAGGTCGATGAAATTAAGAAAAACACAAAAATACAGAGGGTGCCAATGGCCCACACCTAAAATCCAAGCTACGCAGGAGGCAGAGATCAGGAGCATCGAGGTTTGAAGCCATCTGGGCAAATAACTCAAGAGACTCTATCTAGAAAAATACCCAACACAAAACAGGGCTAGCGATGTGGCTCAAATGGTATAGCGTGAGACTATGAGTTCAAACCCAGTACTGACAAAAAGAAAAAAAGCAAAAGTAAGTAAATATTAGAAGTAAAAAAAAATCTCATCACTACAGATGCTGCAGAGGGATAAAAAACATTCAATCCAAATCTATACCAAAAAATGTGAAAGCACAGGTGAAATGAACAAATTCCCAGAAGAGTATAACTAACAAAACTGCCCTCCCAAGGTTTCTCACACCTGAATAATTCTACCGCCACTATAAATCTGAATCAGTAATTATAAATATGCTTTCAAGATCCTCTCTTTGGTTTGGTGTTTTGCTGTTTCATCATAATGGGTATAAATGTGGATTTCTTTTTATTTGAAAATTAAAATTCCTGTGCCTTTGGATCCATACTTTTCATCAGCACTGGGAAAGCTGCATTCATCATAGCTTCACTATTATTCCTCTCTTCTTCTTCCTATCTTCTGGGGTTTCAAGGCAGATGTTAGACCCTTTCACCTCCCATTCTTTATCTCCTAATCTTTCACCTCCTGTCTCTGTTGCATGCTGAGTAAATTATTTGGATATATCTTTCAGTTCACTGATACTTTCTTCTTCAGTGCCTGACTTGTACTTCTTCTCAACTTCAATGAATTTTTCACTTTTATAAGTACCATGCTGCCATTTCTGTCCTGCTCCTCTGACAAGCCTACCCATCTCCAGAACAGGGTCCACAATCCTTTTCCCTTAAAGGGACGGTAGTATGTATTTTGGATTCGTGTACCACATACTCTCTGTTACATATACATCGTCATTTTTTTCTTTTGTACAACACTTTAAAAATGTAAAAATTACCAGGCATAGTGACAGGTACCTGTAGTTCAATGCTACTAGGGAAACTGAAGCAGAAGGATCTCAAATTCAAGCCCAGCCTGGACTTTATAGGGAAACCCTGCCTCAAAAATTTCGTGTTTAGACTTGTGCCCTGTCCCCTGGATATCTCACTATATGTATGCAAATACTCCCAAATAAAAATCTGAAATCTGAACCACTTCTGGTCCTTCCAAGCATTTCAGATAAAGGACACACAACCTGTATGGCATTCAAAGTGCAGAAAGTGCCTGTGGTAATGAGCCTGGTTCTCATTATGTACTGGTGGCACTCCCAAAGACCATACAAGCCTCAATGAAGACACCAAACAGCTTGGAACCAATAGAGGCCCAATGCTCAGAAATACTGGTATCTGACTGGGATCAGTGCATTTCAGAGGACAGGGTGCACAGGGCCAGGGGATAACCCAAAGCAGCCATGTCACAAAGGGATTAATGACTCCTAGAATGAAATACTAGAACCTAAGCACAAATGTCACTAGGCTATCACAGTGCTCTCATAAAACCCCACTGCCATTTTGAAAAAAGCCAAGGAAGAGAAGACTCTTACCTTAACAAGACTGTTAAAATCAGAAATGATTCAGATATCAATTAGCAAGCGTACCCTCTGAATGTGTTTTCCACTTTCCCACATTTCATCAGTGGCAATATCCATTTACTGCCACTGGAAGTTGAAAAATAAGTAACTGTTTTACCATGTGTATTTAGAAAGAAGTGTCTTCATATGTGTGCTAATGGCTGAAGTAATGGGAATGTGTATAAAACAAAGAGGTGTTCACAGTTTCTATAAGAGGTGACGGGAGAACTAGGACTCAACTGAGAATAGGTAATATGAAATGTTTATCGACAAAGGGACAAAAAGCGGGTTGGGGAGACAGCTTGGTGGTAGAGTGCTTGCTAGCATCCAGAGGCCTTGGGGTCAATTCCCAGTAACCACAAATAAACAAAAAAACAACAAAAACTACGGAGGCTTTACAGGCTGCTCACACCTGTAATCCTAGCTATTGAAGAGGCAGAGATTAGGAGGATCTCTGAAAGCCAGAGGTTGAAAGCCAGCCCCTGGCAAATAGTTTGGGAGATCCTATTTTGGAAAAACTCATCACAAAAAAAAGAGCTTGGCTCAATCAGTTGAGTGCCTGCCTAGTAAGTGTGAGGCCCTATGTTCAATCCTCATTGGCGCCACAAAACCCCCAGCCAATCAATTATAAAATAAAAAGGTGCCTAGGCTAAAGGCATGGCTCAGGCAGGCACAAAGCCCGGAGTTTAAACCCCATGCCACCAAAAGACCACTAGCATCTGTTGAGTTCCACATGTCAGGCACCACACTTACTTCCCACCTGGTCATATAGTAGACAGTCAATAAAGGTTTGTTAAAGGGATAAAGCCTTTAATCTTTATTCTGCAAAAGAAATGAAAGCTGAGGTTAGGTGATTAAGGTCATATTGTAGGTAAGTGGCAGAGTGAGGGATGAGTCCAGGTCTGCTTACTCTGACTCATATTTACTACAGTATAACATGTTCCCCCTAAACTTAAGAACCACAATATGGTATTTCTCATGATTCAGTGAGTAGATGAGGTGCAACTAGGTGGCTCTTCTATTGTTCTCAGTTGGGGGCCGATGCTAGCATAGGCTGGAATACACAATGTCTACTATCTTGGCAGAGACGGCTGGAAGGTTAGACTGCTGTCCATCTCTGTGTATTCTCAGGGCCTCTCCCTCTCCACATGGTCTCACAAAGTGGAGCAGGCAGACTTCTTATGTGCGTTCAAAAGTACATAAGAATGCTCGAGGTTTCTAAGTGCACAAAAGGCTGAAATCCAGAACTGGCACAGAATCACTTCTGCCACAGACCCACCCCAATTCAATGTGGAACACAGGAACAGATACCAGGAAGATGGGTATCAGTGGCCATTTTTGGAGACTAGCTACCACAGCCCTTCGTTTTATCACAGCACTTAGTTCTCCCACTATTTCATGCCACTATAAGCACCTGAATAGATATTCTTGCTTTAGAACCATTATTCAGGCAGTAAAAAGGAAGAGGGCTTGGAGAAGGCAAACCAAAGGTGTTTGGTTGTTGTTTTTGTTTTGTTTTTTATGGTACTAGGGTTTGAACTCAAGGCCTACAACTTGACTCACTCCACCAATCCTTTTTTTTTGTTTTTGTTTTTTTTGAGATAGGGTTTTGCAAACTATTTGCCTGGGCTGGCTTCAAACCACGATCCTCCTATCTTTGTCTCCTGAGTAGCTAGGATTACAGGCATGAGCCGTCTGTGCCTGGCGCACAGGTTTTATAGAAGTCCATTTTGGTGGTGAAGGTTTGAACCTAGGCAGGAGCAGTGAACTTATCAAACAGCCCTAGGGGAAGGAAGAGATGGTCTATGGCATCACAGTCTACAGATGCACACTGGAGGCTGAATTTTAAGTATCAGGGGGAGATATTTTAATAACAAGATGAAGGTGAAGTCAAAGGAGTATTTTTAGTATTTACACATTACCTCCCCATCTAATCACAAGCATATGCATCTCACTACATGGAATTCACTTTTCTTCAGACATGTAAGTTGGCAAACTACTGTATTATATATAGCCCATTTATAGCCAGATGGCTCAAATGTATCCAAAGGATGACTGTACTCGGATTCTGTCAAGTCACTAAACCGTTTAAGAAAATAAAATATATGAAACTTATTTGACTTAATTATAACATTTTTAATCCCCTTAGAGTAATTATTTTAACTTAAAAGGGCATACTTTACTTAAGGATATCCAGATTTGGGGTTCGTTATTTAAAGCAAAATTTTAAAAGTCACCTGAGCGCGCCCAGCACCGCCCTGGAGGACGAGGAAGCAGCTCCCATTCACGTTAAGAATTTGGGGCCTCGCCAGCCGGTGAGCAACACGTGGCCCTGCAAAGAGTTGGGTCCTGTGAAGCAAGGGCGAAAAAAAGGCCCAGGAAAGACATGAAGCCGTCTTTCTTTTTTAAGTTATTGCCTGCTACCATCACTTTAAAAAATAGTAAGAGTAATAATTAAGTTTTAAAACAGGAAGAAAGCCACGAGGAGCCATGTTTCCTGCAAGGTCTGCGCCAGAGTGTCCCAGACCCCTCCCCGACCAAAGAAACAAAGAGCACGCATCCCACGGGGCTCCGGGGATGGGGAGGAGGGTCCTGGGGTGCACGAGGGGTCTTTAGGTCCGAGGTCGCCAGGGCGGCGGGAAGCGGGTTCAGCGACATTTCGGCCTGGGGTGGTCGCCTTGGCCCATGTATGGGGCCACCCGCCCCGACTGCGCTGAGCTCTACGACACTTACAAGACTAAAGTACAATGGATCTATTTGGAAAAGTGCATTTCCAAGCCGTCCTGCGGCCTGCAGGCCCGGCACAACCCCGCGCGTCCCCGGCAACCGCGCCCGCCCGCGCAGCTGCAGAAGCCGGAAAAGGTCGGCTAGCTCGCGCTCGGAGCCACACTCCGGACGATCGCACCCCGGCGGACCCCTCCGAAGACTCGAAAATGGTGCCGACCTCGTCCTCTGATTGGCTAGACCCGAAGGAGGCGTGGCATCCAGAGTCTGGTTCTGCGCGCCAGAGCCCGCTAGCCGCATTGCGAGCCAGGGAGGGAGCAGGCGCCATGGTGAGGAGTGGTTGTTGGTTGTGGGCAGTGCGAAGGCCATGGTTTGGGTTTGGGTTCAGGCTCGAGTCCCGAGTTGAGCCAGGCAAGCCCTGCTCCGGGAACGGGACCGAGCGGACTCGAGAGCCTCTCTGATGTTCTCCCCCCGGCTCCCGTTCCAGGTTCTGCTGCACGTGCTGTTCGAGCACGCGGTCGGCTACGCGCTTCTGGCGCTGAAGGAAGTGGAGGAGATCAGCCTGTTGCTGCCGCAGGTGGGTCAGATTGGTGGGTTCGCCCGCCTGCACTGCAGCCCCTCGGGCCGCCAAGCCCCAGCATGCACCGCGCGCTCCCACGTGGCCGGTCGTGCGGGCTGGGGGGAGCGAGGGAGGGAAAGCTCTGGAGCAGGAGATCCTTTCCTTGACTCATGATTAAAATCTTTTTAGGAACGGTTAGCAATGTGCCTCGCCGCTGAAAGTAAAACCCGGGATATGGGGCCCATCTGTTGGTATATTTTAATTACGACCGGAGCCGATAACGTTTGCGGCGCCGAGCAGAGGCTAGAGTGGAAGAAAGAAATCACTCATCTTTTTCCCCACAGGTGGAAGAGTGCGTGCTCAACCTGGGCAAGTTCCACAATATCGTTCGTCTCGTGGCCTTTTGTCCCTTTTCCTCGTCCCAAGTCGCCTTGGAAAATGCCAATGCGGTGTCTGAAGGTGAGTTGACCACCGACGAGTATTTGAGGGCTATAAGGGAGGTGGAGTTCTTAGCGATATTCTCTTGGAATACCTGCCCTTTTTTTACCTAGTTCATTCTAAACTTACTGCTGGGCAATATGTGAGATATAGACGATGTTAATTTAAAATAATTGTAGCTGGGTGTGGCAGAAAGGCCTGTTATCTCAGCACTTGGGAGGCTGAGGCAAGAGGATGAAGAGTTCGATACCACCTGTGCTAAGTAGTAAAACCCGTCTCAAAAACTGGTCCCAGCCTAACATGCATGAGACCGAGTTCAATCTCCAGTACTGGAAGTAAAAAATTAAAGCCCACAAACCAAGATGTAGGTTTTACATACTCGTGGGCATTGCAGTGATAAACATGATTCTTGAATGAGAGGGAATACGTGCCACCTGTTGCCTGAACATAATCAAATATCTGGTTCTGTTTTTTCAATTGATTGGAAAGGGCAATTTTGACAAATAAGGCCAAGAAAAAGAGGACTGACCCCAGAAAGCAGATAGGGTACCAAATACTCCAGGGTTTGTTTTCAGTATGTGCTGTATATTAACAATTTTTCACAGTTGTGCTATTGGACCTCAGTCCAGGGCCCTCCCATGGATGAACCAGGCTTTGCAGTGATGACTTGTGAAATCTGTCAATCCCCTGAGTATAATCACTGATGTCTCTCTGTCTCTGAGCAATGCCTGAAGGGGAGGGGTCTAGGCATGCCACCCCAGCAATGCACCAATTTTGAAGCATCCTTCCACATATTAGTGAGAGCTATGTTCTTTGTCCCGAGGCGTCGTTCATGAGGACCTCCGCCTCCTCCTGGAGACCTACCTGCCTTCAAAGAAAAAGAAAGTACTTCTGGGCGTCGGAGACCCCAAGATTGGTGCTGCTATACAAGAGGAACTAGGGTACAACTGCCAGACGGGAGGTGTGATAGCTGAGATTCTGCGTGGTGAGATAATCTTGCCTTAATATTTTCAAGGGGGTTCTGGAAGCTTAGGGTGTTTCAGGTTGCTCCTGTTTTCCTGGTGCCTGTGGGTGCAGAAACTAGCTCAGAGTCCTTCCTTGCTCACAGTCCTGCCCTCCTCTTAGGAGTTCGTCTGCACTTCCATAATCTGGTGAAGGGTTTGACCGATGTGTCAGCTTGTAAAGCCCAGCTAGGGTTGGGACACAGCTATTCTCGTGCCAAAGTTAAGTTTAATGTGAATCGGGTGGACAACATGATCATCCAGTCCATTAGCCTCCTGGACCAGCTGGACAAAGACATCAATACCTTCTCTATGCGTGTCAGGTAAGATGCAGGGGCCACTGAGTCTTTAGCCTGTAGTTTAGCTAATTTTGAATCCTTGTGATGTGTGCTGGAGTTAGGCCCCTTGGTGCTTACCACAGGCTGTGTTCTTCCACTGACTATATAAAAAGGAGGGAAAGTAAACCTACCCCATATATACCTCAACCCAGGCACTGTGCCTGGTCTGTATTCATGGGAAGACGTGGGGTGGATTTGAATCTGACTTGTTCACATTTCCTCTAGGCAGAGTTCAGTGTGAGAAGGGCTTCATTGTTTGAGAAGGGGCAGCTGGGCCAGTGTGTGATTATGCCTCTTTGCAGGGAGTGGTATGGGTACCACTTTCCGGAGCTGGTAAAGATCATCAATGACAATGCCACATACTGCCGCCTTGCCCAGTTCATTGGAAATCGAAGGGAGCTGAATGAAGAAAAGTTGGAGAAGCTGGAAGAGCTGACTATGGATGGGGCCAAGGCTAAGGCTATTCTGGATGCCTCACGGTCCTCCATGGGTCAGTGCAGAACCTGGCAACTGCATAAGGTATGGAACTTTGAATATCTGGTCCTTCTGTTCACACTGCGTGTTTCCTAGGCATGGACATATCTGCCATTGACTTGATAAACATCGAGAGCTTCTCCAGTCGTGTGGTGTCTTTGTCAGAGTACCGCCAGAGCCTACATACTTACCTGCGCTCCAAGATGAGCCAAGTAGCCCCCAGCCTGTCAGCCCTAATTGGGGAAGCGGTGCGTCATGGGAATATTTAAAAAGGGGATAGCAGTGTTAAGATTCTGCATTGCTGTACTTGGCCCACCATATCTTCCCCAGTTGTGCATGAGGAGGAGGGGAGAACTTATACACCTGGCCCATCAGGAGTTAGTTCCCACTTTGACTTCTTCCTTGGCTCTTTCTTCAGGTAGGTGCACGTCTCATTGCTCATGCTGGCAGCCTCACCAACCTGGCCAAGTATCCAGCATCCACAGTGCAGATCCTTGGGGCTGAAAAGGCCCTATTCAGGTACCAGTGGGGGCACCTGCCCATATCAGGTGCCACTTCTGGTGCCCACTGCTTGTTTGGGGATCACAGTGATGGCTGACCAGGGCTCCCTGACCTATACAGGCCTCTGCTATGGGGGTGATGGCCAGTCCTGGTGTCTGAGTGATTCTCAGGGCCCAACAAAGGGACCAAGTTTCCAGGTCAGCGACATTGAGTGCCTTCCCTGTGCCTCTGGGAGCTGTGGGTTGGCATGTATTGGGGTGAAGAGTCTAGCCCAGCCTGAGGCTCTACAGACTGGGAGGGGCAGGGCAGGAAGAACTACCTTGACTAATGGGGTTGAAATGTCTGATCTTAAACTCTTCACTGAATATTCTCTCAGAGCCCTGAAGACAAGGGGTAACACACCAAAATATGGACTCATTTTCCACTCCACCTTCATTGGCCGGGCAGCTGCCAAGAACAAAGGCCGCATCTCCCGATACCTGGCAAACAAATGCAGTATTGCCTCACGAATCGATTGTTTCTCTGGTATGGGTTAGGGAGGTTGGTGGTTGAGAAGGGGCCGGGAGGGAGGGAGGGAAAGTTGACTACCTTAAGCAGCTTCTACAATGATGGTAATATTTTTCGTCAACAGAGTTCACTTAGCAAATGTTGATACACTGGGTCTGAGTGAAGCTGAGGGTAGAGGGAATACTGGGGGTGAGAGGTAATTGTCCCTTCACAAGTTAACAGACTTTGTTTATCCACTCACACACCCAGAGGTGCCCACAAGTGTATTTGGCGAGAAGCTTCGGGAACAAGTTGAGGAACGACTATCCTTCTATGAGACTGGAGAGATTCCACGGAAGAATCTGGATGTCATGAAGGAAGCAATGGTTCAGGTTAGTTTGGGCCTTTTCAGGTGGCTGAGAATTGTAACTGGCTGTTGGAGGTGATGAACTGTTTTGGCCTGACCTTGTGGAGTGAAGGCAAAAAAAAACTGATTTAATGAGCCTGATCCAATAAAGCCAGGAAGAGAGGCTCTGGCAAGCTGGGGGTCTTCAAGCCTCTTCAGCACTTATTCTTTTGTCAGGCAGAGGAAGCTGCTGCTGAGATTACCAGGAAGCTGGAGAAACAAGAGAAAAAACGTTTGAAGAAGGAAAAGAAGCGACTAGCTGCTCTTGCCCTGGCATCTTCAGAAAACAACAGTAGTACTCCAGAGGAGAATGAGGTCAGTCAGCAGATTAGCCCTCCAGGAAGATCCTAGGTTGTAGGATTTTTCAACAGCATAACAAAGGATGTGCTATCTCAAGCCATGGTCTGGAGTCCAGGCTTTTGAACTGAACATCTAAAACTACCTCTTGATTCTATAGGAAGGAAATAGGTGCTGAGAGAACTTGCTCAAGAGCCCAGAGAGCTGGTTGTAGCACACACCCGTTCCCTGGGCAAGTGTGCTCTGTCCTCGGCTGCCTCCCAGGAGTCCTCAACAGGGGGTAGTGTAAATTCCTGCTCTCCTTGTACTCAGCCATGTATCTGGAGGTGGTAGTGTTTCACAGTGGGGATGGGGAAGGGAGATCACCAGTAATTCTAGGGTAGAATCATCCCTCTGGGATTTTCATTTAATGCCACCATGACACAGTTTCAGGGTCCCTTTTGGAACTGGGGTGATGACCCTATTGAAACCAGCAGGGAGGGGTTTTTCATAGGTTTCCTCTTTACATGTTCCCCCCAATTTCTAACTGGGAGTAGTTGAGGGTGGATTTCTAAGTTATACCTATATGATCAAACATCTAGGTATAAAGCGCATTGGACAGTTTGCAGGGTGTGTACATATGCACAAGTAACACTGTTCTGCTTATTTCCTCTTTAGGAAATACGTGAAAAACCCAAAAAGAAGAAAAAGCAAAAACCCCAGGAGGCTCCTCAGGAAAATGGGATGGAAGAGCCAGAGCCATCTGTCTCTTTGCCCAAATCCAAAAAAAAGAAAGCTTTTTCCAAGGAGGAATTGGTCAGTAGTGATCTTGAAGAGACAGCTGGTGGCAGTACAAGCCTTCCTAAAAGGAAGAAATCCTCACCCAAGGAGGAGACAGCTAGTGAACCTGAGGAGGCAGCCATCAGGAGTATCCCCAAGAAAAAGAGAAAATTCTCTTCCAAGGAGGAGCCTGTCAGCAGTGGGCCTGAAGAGGCTGCTAGCAGCAAGAGCAGCACCAAGAAAAAGAAAAAGTTCCAAAAAACACCCCAGGAAGATTAGGACATTTCCCTGGAGGGAGCTTACATTTCCCATGCCCCAAACCCCAATAAAAAACATTCACAAAAAGTTTGCTAGTAATGTTTTATTGAACACCTCACAGGGGTGTGGGCAGGCCTATGAGTAGGATAGGGCATCAATGACAGCCTCAGTGAAGTCTTGGCAAGTGGCATAGCCACCCATGTCAGAGGTTCGAACCTGTAGGGGAGAATTGTCATCATCCTGTGGCCTGGGTCCTATCCCTAAGAATACCCACCCCCACAACCCAGTGTAGAGTTCATAAGGAAGGAGCCAGCCCCAGGACAACCTAGTCTCTACCCAGAGTAGCAATTATGGTCCACTGTACTGAAGGGACGTGTAGGTAACATGGTCCTTGTGAGGTTGGAGGGGAAAAAGGGCTCTAGCCCCCATGGGGGTGCAGGTGGCCGATGACAGACTTGATGAAGTCGGTTGTGGTGCTGTAGCCTCCCATGTCTCGAGTCCGCACCTACAGGCACCAACGGCAAAAGCCGTGGGAAAGAAGAGAAGAGAGCCCATGAAGGGAGGTAGGGGCAGTGTGATCAAAGAGATGGAGCCCAAGAAAGGTGACACAGGGCAAGAAGATGCAATACAGCAGGGGTGGAAAGAGGTAGCCAGGTATGGAGCAGAGATCTGCTCATTCTGAGCCACTGAAAGATACGCTGCCACCAAGACAGGATGAGAGGCCAAAATAGGATGGGAGGCTTAATGGGCAGTGGGATGGGGAGGTAGGTGCACATCAGAGAGGATGAGGTTACCTTGGAGGAAATGAGACAGACCAGGTGGGAGGAAAGGGCTCTCAGGCATGAAGAAAATGAAGCTAGCACTTCATCCTGCCTGCTCTTCCCCTGCCACTCCAAGGCTGCAGGATCTGCATTCAGGTGGCCCAAGAAAGAGGCAATGGATGGAGCAGAAAGGGAACAGCAGATGGGACTAAGAGGCAAAAGAAGACCCAAGAGGATGAAACAGCCAAAAGAAAGAAAGTGGAGAACAGCCCTGAGAAGGTCACTCAGCAGATGTTCTGGGGACCTGGAGGAAGTGGAGGCCTTTTTCAGATTCCCCAGAAAGTAGTGGCAAAGCCCTGAACCCAGCACCTTTCTAAACTCACCTTGCCAACTTTGATCACCTTCTTTACAGCATCTGCAATCATGTTGGCATGATACTCGAGACTGTCAATGTGGACAGGGAGACACTGAGACTCCAGAACACTTTCCCCATGATTTTCCCACCGGGGTTCCCCCTTATCACACACCCTTGCTCCCCTGACATACTTGAGATGCCGCAGCATGTTGGAAGCTGACAACAGCATGGCCGTGGGATTAGCTATATTCCTGCCCACTGCCTGGGCAAATGGGTGCCGGGCACCCTGTGGAGAGAGGGGCAAACCAGAGTCACTAGGAGGAGGCAGGTATATGACAAGGACATTATGAGAATGAAAGGGCAGACCAGCATCACTGAAAAGAGGTATGGGATCAAGGAGGAGGAGGCCACGGTCATTTGGAGGGGAAGGCACTGGGATGGAGGAAGAGTGAGAGGAAACCTGAGGTCAGAGGAAAAGTGGGTACAAATGAGTGAAGGAAAAGGTGACCTCGCTCACCATCTCAAAAACCGCATACTCTGCACTGTAGCTCTCACCAGGAACCACACCAGCTCCCCCAACCAGGCCAGCGGCTAGGTTGTCAATAATGTTCCCGTAGAGGTTGGGCATCACAAGCACGTCAAACTGGTAAGGGTTCTGCACCAGCTAGGGAGTAAGATGTGGGCGTGAGAAAGAGAAGTGAATTCTACTACTTACCTTCCCTCTACACTGTAAGAGTGGAGACATGCAGAGGGTCTCACCTGCATGCAACAGTTGTCTATGATCATTGTCTCAAACTTGATTTTGGGGTATAGTTCAGCAACATCCTCACAGCACTGCAGAAACAATCCATCCCCAAGTTTCCTGGCCACAAGCCAAACAGAACAGAATCAGCCAAGAGTGCAGAGGGCTACCTACCCAGGAACCCGTCCCATGCAAAACCACCCCTCTCACATGATGTTGGCCTTATGGACAGCCGTGACCTTGTTCCGCCCATTCTTGGTGGCATAGTCAAAGGCAAACTTTGCAATCCGCTGAGATTTGGTTCGAGTGACAATCTTCAAGCACTCAATCACGCCCCTTGCACTCTGGGTGAGAAGAGGTGACATGGGGAAGGGCTAGGTGTCCCATCTTTCTCCTACCTCTATTCCTGCCTCCTCCACCCCTAATGATTTCTGGGGCCTCACCTCGTGTTCCAGAGAGCTATATTCCCCTTCTGTCTGCTCTCGAATGATCACCAGGTCTAGATTGTTATGCCGAGTCACATACCCAGGAAGTGATTTCACATGGACTACATTGGCAAACAAATCCAACTTACGCCTGAGGGTGAACAGAGCCATCAGCTCTGTGCCTGTTGCCCAGCACCCCAGTGACCCAAGCTCACCCATCTACCTACCTCAGCCGCATATCATAGGAGGCTAGCTCTCCCTTATACTCCATTGGGGTATGGATCTTTCCTGCGGAAACCAAGTGTGGAGAGCAGTGTTAAGCACAAGCCAAGTTCAAAGGAGCAGAGACCAGTGTCCAAGCCCCCCAGGGTTTGGACAACCCAGATTCTCAATTCCAAATCTGTGGCCCTTAATTACCTCTGGCAAGGGGCAAAGGAGAATAATGTAGTTACAATCAGAAAATTTAGTCTACTGCTTTATTTTCAATCAACATATGTAATGTGTTGAAACTTCAAAATGACCAAAAGGAGGGCAGATTTTTTTTTTTTTTTTTTTTTTGCAGTACTGAGGCTTGAACTTAGGGCCTACACCTTGAGCCACTACTCCACCAGCCCTTTTTTGTGAAGTGTTTTTTTGAGACAGGGTCTCACGGAACAATTTGCTCAGGCTAGCTTCGAACTACAATCCTCCTGATCTCTGCCTCTGAGTAGCTAGGATTACAGGCATGAGCCACCAGTGCCTGGCAGAGGACAGATATTTTTCATGTTTATCAAAGATTACGGGTCTAACAGGTTGAAAAACAATATTGTGGATCTATGATGCTCCTTGATGTTTGTCTAGTCATGTGACATTTTCTTAGTCAACACTTACTGAAAATTGACTGTATAGCAGGCAACACAGATATCAATAAAAAAACCCACATAACTCCTATCCTCAAAGAGCAAACAATATACTAGGAAGACAGATAACATGAGAGACATAATAAATACCATTAGATCAGGATTAGCAGTGTGCACAGGAGTACAAAGAAAGAATTCCCTCTTGTAATAAGAATGTCATAAAAGAGCTGGTGCTTCAGTCTTTGGTTAAGAGAGTGCAGTGGGTTGAATAGTGATGGCAAAAATGGTACATCTATGTCTTAACCTCGAGAAACTGTAAATGTGACCTTACTTGAAAAAAGGTTGTTTGCAAATGTAATTAAGAATTTTGAAAAGAAATTGTCCTGAATTAGGGTGGGCCATAAATCCAACGATAAGTTCTTATAAAAAAAAAGAAGGGATAAAGATACGGAGACAGAGGGGAAAACCATAAAGTAAGAGGCAGAGACTGGAGAATTTCATCTATGAGACAAACAACACCAGGACAAAGCAAAAAAAAAAAAGATTCTCTCCCTAAGCCTTCAAAGGGAGTGTGACCTTGCCATCGCCCTAATTTCAGACTTCTGACTGAAATTAAGAGTAAATTTCTGTTATTTTCAGCCTCTCACCTAATTGTGGTTTGTTATGGCAGCCACAGGAAACAAATACTGTAAGAATTCTGACAGGTGGCATCAAAGGAAGAACATTCTAGGCCAGGTCAAGGCATTACATGGATTTGGAAAACTAAGACAGTCTAGTTGATTGAAGCACAGAACGAGTATTGTGGAATCAAAGCACAAAAGCTAAAGGCCAAGTTATAAAGAACTTAACATTCCTATGTAAATGTTGGGCCTGTTGAAGTTAGGCTTTTCAAAAGAAGAATAAAATAGAATAGCTGAAGGGAAGATAAAAGAAAAGGGGCACCTCCAACTGGCACTGTAAAGAAACACAAGACTTGATGATGGATGATGTAGCTTCAACACAGACACTTCACCCTTGGAGTCTTCTAGCTGACCTGACTCCTAGGTTCCCACTGGCAAGGAACAAATTCCCAAGTACCAGGAGTGGGCAGTGGGAAGTTGATATATTTGTATGTGTGGAGAGAGATTTAATGAACATTACTCATTTGACTCTAAATGACACATAGGCAGTGTGACAAGGGGCACACATACCAATGATGGCAACCTTGTTCTCCTTCATGGAACTCAACACCTGCTCCAGCTTCTCCTCAGAAGCCATATTCTGCACTTCGCTCAGGTGGTGCTCCTGGAACTCCACCGGGACAGCGGCAGCCTTCAATGACAGATCCCAAAAAAAACCAGGGTCAAGGTCAAGTAAGAACTTTCCAACCTACCCCCTCTTCCCTGCAGCCTTACCTGAACCCCACCACATCACTCACCTTGAACACTTCCTTGACTGCGTGCATAAGCTCCGGCCCCACGCCGTCTCCCGGCAGCATGGTCACAGGAAAGGCACCCTCCACAGTCACGTCTTGGACCTGTGAGTAGAACCAGTAAAGCTAGGGCAGGGCCAAGGGCAGGGGTCCCGCTGGGAGTGGGGTAGGAAGAAGCCAAAGAAACTGCGAGGAGAGACAGGGGCGTGAGTAAGGCCTGAGCCGGACTCGCGCGTACCTGACTCTGCGAAGCGGCCTGCGCCGTGGCCGAGGTACTCAGACTTCTCCATGCCGCGGGGTACCGGGCGGCCACCGCCACCTGCGACAGAGACACACAAAGCTATGAGGTCAGATCTAGGACCGCTAGACCCCAAACACTGCCGTGACCTTGCCCTCTTTAGGAGGACAAATCCTCCGCTCCACCACCCGCCCCCCTGCTCAGAGTGCCCCCTGGCCTCACTCGGGTCAGCCAGCGGACACCACTCAGCGCCGCCATGTTCTGAGCGGGAAGTCGCGCGGGAAGTGACGCCGGAAGCTGGCGCGGCTTGGGACCCCGACTTCCGGCCGGGCCCGGTGGGCTTCTCTGTCCCGCCGACCTGTGGTCTGCGCACTTAGCGTCCTCCTTCTCGTACATGACGGGGTGACACAGGACACCCGTGCATTTTGTTGCTTTATTTTCAGTCGCCATATTTAATTTGTTAAAATTTGAAAATAGCACTAAAGGAGAATATATGACTCTATATCAAACAAGGACCTGAATTTAACAAGAGGTTGAGAAACAATTCTGGGGAATCCGTATCCAAAAGTTTTTGTGTCTAAATGGTTGGTTGGTTGGGGGGTGGGGGTTGTTACTGATTTGGTTTTCTGGTGGGACTGGGGTTTGAACTGGGGGCTTTACGCTGTTACTCTTTTACCCAGTACTCACCGAACGGGCATGAGACATTAAATGACACACAGTGCACGGGAGCTGCATGTTTGTGTTTTCCTGTCAGTGTCCTAACCTGCCAGTTAGTTGCGGTGTTTTAATCAAATGCCCTTATTTTTCCTGTAAGGTCTTGTACTTTGCTCAGAGCAGTTGTTTCTCTTACACCAATACTGCTTAATAATAGGAAAGTTCAGCCAGTACTATTGAAAAGTTACTTAATCAATCTTTTAAGTTAGGAGGAAGTGATACCATCTTCCTCTAACTGTTATGGAGCCTTCTCCAAAGGCCATAACAATGAATAACTTGCCCTTGCCGCCTGTGTGTTCAGTGTGAGACTGGGTAAATTGAATGTCAGTTTCCTAGGCCTACAAATCCTCCAATATAAAGGTCCTGACCCGAGGTCCACAGAGCTCTGTTTGTCCATGAGTAGACATCAATACTGTGAACCTAGGTATAAAAAATCCAGAAACTTTTATTCTCTTAACCTCTTAACAAATTAAGCACTTCCTTTCATTCTGAATGTAGGTCATAGATCACAGTAATATCCTTGATTTTTTTCAACTAAAAGAGATGATAGTTATTTTTCATACACATTTCATTTATGACCTATATCTTGAAAGATCTCTTACTCTCATTCCTACTTTTACATCATTTGACCTAACTAGATCATGTTATTTTTTGGATTAATAAAACAGTACACATTACAAGGTAGCTTTCTTTTTAACATATATCAACAACGGGTTTTCTTTGTAAGCCTATTTATTTTACTTTATGCATTTAAAATAAATGCATAAGAAGGGATCCAAAGGAATCATGGCACACAAAGGATTCACAATTTCTGCCATGTCAGGCCTATGGGTCGTTTTCCATAACCTTGAAGCCTGAGAAAGATTCTTGAAAGAGGAAGAATTGCACCTGATGGAACTGCACCTAAGGGAAAATGGAAGTATAAGCAAAGGTGGTACCTTAGGTCAGGTTGCCTAGAAGCAGAACCCAACATAGTTATGCAAGGAACTTATGAAGGAGTATTCTCAGAAGAAACATGAATAAAAAGAAAAGGGCAGGAGGAGGAGCTTAGCAATATATTGCCTCAGCTGGAGCCTACCTGAGCCTGATCTCCTGTGGATCTCTGGAGTATGAATAATGTCTAAATTTGTCCCATTTGAGGTAAGACTTACTAACAGTACATGACATAGGCCAGGGATAACCCTCTTTGAGAAGGAGGAGGTTGCCAGCAGTCAATGACCAACATCTGAAGCAGTTGGGGGCCTGGATGAACCAGCTGACAAGGAGGATCTTAACAAGGCAACTACTACATTATGGAGGTGAGAATGAACACCGTGTCTGAGAAATGGGGAGACTAGCCAACATGTGTAAGGAGGTGAGGTATATACAGTGAGTAATAGCAAGAAGTAAGACTTGTAAGTTCTAAGGCTTCTCTGTAAGGCTGAGAGAAATGGAGAGAGATTAATGAGCAATACTAGGGATCCTGTTGAGGTCGAAACCATGAAAATTATCATGGTATGGTTATATATGATTTCATGGAGAAAACGAACACTTGGGATCATCTAAAATGTGATATTCTTCCAGAAAGAGGTAAAAAAAGAGTTGAGAGGGCTGGAAAAATGGGATCAGGAGGTAAGTGAAGATAGTCAGAAGAGATCCATCTAATTGATAGGTGAGAAAAGATCAGACCCGCGGCTCTGAAAAATAGTACTTGTGGGAAGTTGTTGAGCACGTAAGATGGAAGTAAAGGAGCATTCCTCCATCCAGATTTTTGTAGGTAGAACAGATGCAAGTGGTAATGAAGTCACATGCGGGATTCTGGGAGTGGATAACAAGGAGAGCTTGAGGAGACTTTGAAGGTAAGGAATGATACCCACAATATTGAATGGGTCATCCTTGTCAAGTGCGAGTCAGCCAACGCAGTGGCCTCTGTTGGGGCAGAGAAGGATCCTCATCATTAGCTCATAATCATAATATGGCTGCTGCTGCTCTGGACATCACTTTTGCATTCACAGCTAGAAAATGGATAAAAGAGCAGTCTCAGTCACACTCTTTATCAGAAATGTCAAAGCTAGGCTGGGCATAGTGGTACACGTCTATAATCCCAACTATGCAAGAGGTATAAGTAGAAGGATCATGGTTCAAGGCTGGTCCAGGCAAAAGCATCTGAAAAATAACTAAAGCAAAAAGAGCTAGGAGCATGGCTTAACTGGTAGAGTACCTGCCTAGCAAGCACAAGGCTCTGAATTCAACCCCACCCCACTGCCATTTTAAAAAGTCAAAGCTTGCCCAGAAACATTCTCAGCAGATTTTTTGGTTATCACACACTAGAACCAGATCTATGATTGCTCCCACTGCAAGGGAAGCTGGGAAAGAGGTTTGTCCAGATTGACTTAAGCCAATTCTTCACATGTTGGCTTCATCTTAGAATCACCTGGGAACCTTTAAAAATTACCTGCCTGAGCCAGACATGGTGTTCATGCCTGTAATTCCAGCTACTTGGGAGGCAGAGATAGGAGGATTGCAGTTTGAGGCCAGTTTGGGCAAAATTAGTGAGACCCTGCCTCAAAACGCATCTTGATATAGTGGTACATATCTATAATCCCAACTACTAGGGAGGGAGTGGTAGGAGAATTGTCCAAGGCAACCCAGGTAAAAGTGAGAGACCTTATATGAAAACCAAACTAAAAAGCAAAAGGACATGGCTCAAGTAGTGAAGTGTGGTTGCCTAGCCAGTGTGAGGCCTGAGTTCAATCCCCAGTACTGCCCAAACAAATCTTCCTGGGCCTCACCTCAAGAGAATTTGATGTGACTTGTTTGGGTTGGAGCCTAAACATTGGTGTTTTGTTTTTGTTTTTTAAAGATTCCTGGATGACTCTAAAAAGTCAACTTGAGTTGAGAACCAGACACTTATAATGATCATGACCCTTCATCTGGAGTTGAGCTGGTGTATCAGGATTGGGTTCAGCTTCAAAGGATAATACACAGCATACCCACAGCCTAAACAAAAGAGGCATTTAATTCTGACATAAAACTTTGGGGATAGATGATCTGAGGCTGAAATGGTCTACTGCAGTGTCGGAGGCACAAACTCATTAACACACTGGTCTACTTTGCATGATTTCCACTCCCAAGGTCATTCAAGAGCCAAGATATTTATCCAGTTCCCGTATTCTAACCAGCAAGAAAAAGGACAGGGAAGGAGAAGAACAGAGGCCCCTGCCTTTAATGCACTTTAAAGTGGCTTGTGCTAGTTGTGCCTACCTTCTGTATATTCAGAAATGCATCCATCTTTCCCTTCAAAGATGTAGGTTTCGGGCTGGTGGAGTGGCTCAAGTGGTAGAGTGCCTGCCCAGCAAGCATGAGGCCCTGAGTTCAAACCCCAATTCCACAAAAAAAAAAAGCTCTAGGTTTCATTTCACAAGGCCTCCTCTGTCCTAACACGCTAAGCATATTCTCAGGTGTTTTTTTGGTTTTTTTTCAAATGTTCAAATTTTTTTGTGTTAGTGTTGCTTAGGTAATTAATCTGAAATTTAGTTTCATAAAAGGTGAAAGATAAAGCCTTAACTTTCATTTCCCAAAAAATTTTAGCTAACTTGTCTTATCTTTTCCTCCAGGTAGGAAACTCTACCCCTATCAAATATGGTGCCCCTCAACTTATGATAGGATTGCATCCCAATAAACACATTGTAAATTGAAAATATTGTGGGGTTTTTTGTTGTTTTTTTTTTTCCTGGAAATTGAACCCAGGGTCTCGTACATGCTGTGCAAGCACTCTGCCACTTGACCTATGCCCTCAGCCTTTAAGTTGAAAATATTGTCAAGTCAAAAATGCATTTATATTTGTTTTTTTCAAAAATGCTTTTAATACAACTCACTCACCAAATATCATAACTTAGCCTAGCCAACCTTAAATGTGTTTAGAACACATATGTTAACCTATAGCTGAGCAAAATCATCTAACACAAAGCCTATTTTATAACAGAGTATTGAATAGCTCATGTAACTGTATTGAAAGAAAAAAACCAGAATAGTTGTATGGGTACACTTTTGCACCATGGTGAAGTTGAAAGATCATAAGTTCCACTGTCATAAGTCAGGAAACATCTCTTCTAAATTCCTATTTAGAAGATTTATTTAGATCAAACCGTGTGAAAATGCTGGTATCTGTCATCTCACCCAGCTTTATTTTCTTAATTATACCTTCTACTACTAAACATCATTTTACACATTTATTCTTTACACATATTATTGCTTGTGTTTTTGTTAGCACCTCCCTTCAGGACAAAAAGCAGATTTGCTTACTTCGTGCTATAAAAGAGGTGGGTTCCCTAAACTTGGCATACTTCCAGTATCACACAAATCTACTCGACAAACAGCATCTACTGGACCCCTGGGGGAGTTGGGGAAAGAGGGAGGCAATGTAAACATTATGCTTATGCTTTTTGCTGTGCTGTGAGCAGTAAAGTCCTTTGTCTCTGACTCAGGAGGCTTATCTTTGTCAGCATCCATGAAACAGTAAAAGTCTTTAGGTGTTATGGTTTGGATATGAAATGTCCCTGTAAAAGTTTCAAGTGTTGAAAGCTTGGTTCC